GAAATTCCATTGGGACCAAGTAGCACTAAATTGGTGACTTAGAAACGATGCTGTCCATAGCGTTCCTTGACAGCATCGTTTCTAAGTCACCAATTTAGTGCTACTTGGTCCCAATGGAATTTCCCATTGGGAACCTGCTAGCACTAAGATGCTAACTGGTTAGCAAGATGCTTCCTACAAACCGGCCACAACCAAACTTGCATACGAACCTTCCACCACGACAATCCCGCCCCCTTGATAAACGGCCAATCACATTTACTTTATTTACTCCTGTAAAGTCGGGCACCACTCTGGAGAATTCGGAAATGCAACGGTCTGAACAGCTGCATCCCTATGACTTTAACCTTTCAACTATCATAGACTGAATATAATGAACAGAGTTAGCGAGGAAGCCGACCCTGGTTAATAATGCAGAGGATGTGTCCTTACCAACCTTACCGTGTTCAATCAGAGGAAAAGCCGACTGTTGCCCGTTTCCCCTGATGTCGTCTGGCAGGGCTGTTGGGTTTAGCTAATATTCTGGTCCGTAGACATGAGTAATATCCGTAGACTGACTCCTTTATGAATTGGTGGTTGTCTCCACCTTGTGGTACGGAGGACTACTATGTGTCTGCATTACTTTTTGAATTAGCAGCACCGTTATATATTAGCAAGGCGTTTGCACCTCCTGGCATCCATATGTTCCAGGGATGCATGGGTATCTAGCTCCAAAGCCTAAACTACAGGCTGATTCCAGCTAATGTTTGACAGATCAAGGTGTCCAAACAATGACTTCTCTCTGTGCTGCAGCTTCCCACTTGTTAAAGTCTCCTTTTCTCTGCTTTACATTTCAGAAAACATGATCAGAAACATGACAAGCTTTTATTCAGCCCTCAAATGGTTTCTATCGATACGCACTGAAAGTGTTCTGACTCAGCTTAAGGAAATCTGGTATCCTTCCAGTCTTCCTGAAAGCAGCCAGTGTGACGAGGCGGAGCTGAATTTAGCTTCTCTGCTGCTCACTTAGAAAACAGAGATGTTTAAAAAATAACTGCTTTAGGATAATTTGATCATTTTTACTCTACAGCAAAGGTGACTAACTGTGGATATCTGAACCATTGTGTTGCTTTAGTTGGTAAACCCACCCTCCATCAGCATCCTTCATCTTTCTAAGCCTCCTCCTCCTCTCTGTGTCTGCAGTTACTGATGTGGAGCTGAAGCGGCTGAAAGATGCCTTCAAGAGAACCAGCGGCCTGTCGTTTTACATGACCCAGCAGTGCTTCTACAGAGAAGTCCTGGGAGATGGAGTTCCCCCGAAGGTTGCAGAGGTAAGCCACAGCCACGTCATGTAGGAGAACCAGGAAGGCTGCCGCGGCGGCTGGCGACACTTTCTGTTTGCTGTTCTGAACACGCAGCAGGAAACTCTGACTCTGTGTGGATTAGATCCATAGAAAGGCTTCATGTGATGTTAGGTATAAATTAGTTTTGCTGCAGTCATTTGTGGCTGTTTCCATTGCAGCTTTCATTAGTAGATATAAGAAGTGCAGCTGGAGTTGAGGTCTCTGATTGAGATTTTCTGCAACGTTCTAGCGCTACCCAGAAAACCCAGTAGGTCTGGTTGACTGGTTCATTCAGTCTGAAGCGTGCTGCCACCTGGTTTTTGATGACGCCTCACTTTCACATTAACACAGGCAGCACCAAAGCTGCTGCTGCTTTTGGAAATCCAGATGTATCTGTCGATGCAGAGAGCGTGGAGCTCTGTGTGTGTGTGATCTGCCATCCTGATGTAGCCCAGTATCACCAGCAGTCCCAGCAGAGAGCGCAGGCCCACAAGGTTTACAGTAATCCCAGAGGTTCGTTTTATTTTGAAGCAGAACTGTTCATTTTCCTGGTTGAGCTTTAACTTTGACCAGCAGCAGGTAGTTTGTCTGAATAGGAGGACTAAACGGCCCAGTCAAAGTCCAGACTTGAAACACATACAGAATCTGAATATGGAGCAGGAGGTTGGTTTCTCTTGGATATTATTAGGAAACCAGTGGAAAAATGGCTGAAACTGGTTCACAAAATGATCAGTGAGGCGTAGAAACATGAAAAGAAAACAAACTAACAAAGCAAGGAGGGAGCTACAGATGAGGGTGATGGCATGAAGGCCTTCCACCTGAAAAACCAGGGGCTAATGGGAGAAGATAGACGCTCTAAGGCAGCAGTCAGCAACCCAAACTGCTCAAGGAGCCATAATGGACCTAAAAAACAAAAACTAAATCTGTCTGGAGCCGCAAAAATGTAAAAGTCGGATATATGCCTTTTATGGCAACACAGGCTCTAAGTGTATTATCCCACATTAGAAAATGACTGTGGGGTTAAATATATAATATGCATTCATGGTTAAATGTTAATCCTGGAGCAAATAGTAGATTGATGCGCGGGAGGAGCAGTGAACGCTCCCATTGCACGCCGCCTCACCGCCCTTCACTGCGCGGTTTAGGTTTTGTTGCTTTGATGAAATGTTAGAAACAGGATAAAGGAACCTTTCTATGGTGGACGTGTTTCTGATGGGAGGAGCTGATGGAGGAACCAAGCAGGAAGTGACATCATCAGAGCAGAGCTCTCTAACCCTGAAATCCCACATCCTCCATCACCAGCGTTTCCTCGGTGGGATTTAGATTTTTAGGATTTGGGGAAAAATGGCAGAAAGTTCCCATCCCTGCATCAGAGCGCCACCTGTTGGATCTGTGGACGGTTTTCCATCCTTGCAGCCAAACTAGCAGCAGCAGTTTGGAGATGGAATCTACTTCTAAAATCTATCTTTGCTCTCCTCTAATTCATCCAGAAGTTCTTCAGTCGCACTTTTTCTCTCCCACCCAGCTTGGTGGTCGGCTGCAGATTTAGCCTTCCCTGGAAATGCCTTTCCAAATTACTCTTTTTATTCTTTGACAACTTCTCATTACAAACCGAAAATGCATCGATAATGAAAGCAAATGATTCGCTCTGTTCTTTGAATCCTCTTTTTTCATCAGCTATCTTCCTTTTTTTCCCTCTGGGATTCATGGCCTGAGACACACCTGCAGCTTTGTTAGCCTGGCGCCGCGCCGCTAACGCTGGCTGCAAGTTATGCCCACTGATCTCTAAGGCTATGATGCAAATTATAGTTTAAATTTATTTATTATACAAATGTTTACAGCATTAGAAAACATAATTCATTTTTGTTTGACCTCCTGTACCATATTAAAACAAACAAAACAAAAAAATAGATTTTCATACATTTTTGAAAAAGCTCCAGGGAGGCGCAAAGGGGGCGCTAAAGAGCTGCATGCGGCTCTGGACCCTGGTCTAAGGTGATCAACAGACTGCAAAAAATCAGTCAATCACAATTGGTTATTTTCCATTAAAATAATTTTCTATTGAATTTGGGGGTGGGGGGTGGGGGGGTTGAGACACTTTGCCAATGGAAGAAGACAATTTACATTTAAAATAAGAAAAACAAAATTACTTTGTCTTATTTCAAGTGCATATTATCTAATTATCTTAGTCTAAGAGTAGAAATACTCATTCCATTGGCAGATCATCTTATTTACCTGCTCAAATTAAGGGTAAATTCACTTAATTTAAGACATATTTACTTATTTCCAGCAAGTTTTTGCAGGGTGGTTAGCCATGAAGACATAAACCTTGATCTAGAAGTACATCAAAATGTGCATTTTCCCGAGTTAAGCACAAAAGTAAGATTATCGATCTATCTATTGATCAAGATATTGAGATAGATATAAATATAACAGTGGAACAGTAAGTAGCACTGCTGCCTTGCAGCAAGAAGGTTCTGGGTTCGCTTCCCGGCCTGGTATCTTTCTGCATGGAGTCTGCATGTTCTCCCTGAGCATGCGTGGGTTCTCTCTGGGTACTCCAGCTTCCTTCCACAGTCCAAAACCCTGACTGTTAGGTTAACTCTCACCTGTAGACAGGTTGAGATGGGCAGCAGCCCTCACCACCCCAGCTGGGATAAAGCATGTCAGGAAATGGAAGGAAATAACATTAAAGGCATTTGAATTGAGTGTTTTTCCCTTAAATAATAAGACGTAGACATTATGCACCTTAGTCACTTTCTTTAATTAGAGAATAGTGTTCATTACTTGCTGAAATCAGCAGAAAATGCAGTCCCAGTTTTCCAGCAGCTGTCAGATATTTCCCTGATCTCTAACCTGTGCTCTCTGCCTTCATTGCCTCGTTACTGTTTATAGTAACCAGCCAGGTTTCCATGCGTGGTAGAAAAACAGGACTAAAGCCTCTTTGATGCCAAATGTTGCAGGTTTTTGCAGGGCGGTGAGTTTTAAATTCGGCTATTTTAATCAGCAAGTGTTTTTTACTCTTCAGATGAGGCATTTCCAGCTGTAACAGCTGATGACATTGAAGCATGAGTGTTGCTTCGTATGCGTCTGCAGTTTCTGTCAGCAGGTAATATAAATATGGGCTGATGTTTCCTGCAGGCGTAGGGTACGAGCTACATGCAGCAAGTAAAAAAAAAAAAAAAAGGGACCCACATTTGACTTCTACTGGAGTAAAACTTGTTTGTAGTGGTGCTAGCTTTACCTGAGCGCAGTATCTGGCTGCTCGGCAGGTCTGTGGAGATGACTGTCAGATTTGGATAAGTTATGATCAGACAGTGAAAGAGGGATCGGCCTCTTTGCGAACACGGTGTAGATGCGGTGGAGTAAAGGTGGAGTTCAGGGCATCGGTTTGCTGGACTTCCTGGGATCCAGCCTCCTCCTTCATGTCCGTCACAGGAATCAGAAGCAGCTCTTCCACTCAGAGCTTCACTTTGGGCTTTTTGTGGCTCTTTAACCTGCTGCAAACCGTAGAAACCTGAACTCTAACTGGTGTGAACTGCAAAGGTTCTGAAAATCAATAAAAATTCCTCAAAATCAGAATATTTAGCCCTAATTTGAGCAGGAAAATAAGATATGTGTTACCCATAAAGCCAGATAATTAGATATTATGCACTTGAAATAAGAGACTGCTGTAGTTTTTTTCTTATTTTGAATATATAATGTCTTATTCAATGGCAAAGTGTCTCACCTATCTGCTTAATTCCAGAAAAAAATGCACTTATTTTAAGAAAAAATGACTTAGATTGAGCTTTTTTGCAGTGTATGGATTATTTTTACCCTGAGGGAAATTCTGATCGGGTTTTGATTGCACTTTTAAACTGAAGCTTTGCATTGAAGTTGTTTTCTTTCTCCCATTTCCTCTGGCTGTTATGTCATAGTGTTGGGTTATTACTAATAACAAGGTAAGGCTGGTGTTAGTCATCGTCTTGCACAGCGCTCGCCTCGTGTTCAAGGCTTCTCCTCTCCAACCCTGATCATCATTAGATCCACAGACCTGACCCCGTTTACTCCATGGCAGAGAGCGGCGTCCTCATGGAGGCGCTGTGCAGCCGTTCAGCCCCTTCCTCTGCTCCACCCAGGTGTTCATCATCTACCTGCCGATATGAGAACATCACACAGCAGCCATGTTAGATCTGCTATCACGGATGATGACGTTTCTGCTGTGTCCTAAGTGCATGAAGAGCGTTATCACAGATCCTCCCTCCCAGCAGCTGTTAGACTTTATAACCTCTCAATGTGTCGTTATCTCTCTGCTGTTTCTGCACTTTGTCTTTCTAGATGCTTTAAGTCTGTTGGTGATTTCGCATATTTCTTAAAGTCACAATACTCATTTTCAGTCTTTTTCTATTTTCTATTAGCTGTAAAGTATTTATTGCGTTGGGAATTGTCTCCTATTTATATAATCTTAATCCTTGTCTGTATCTGTCTGCTTCCATTAATTGAGAGCGAGGACAGGTGAATTCTGTCTGTTTCTATTCTACTTTAGTTTAGAGGTTGTTAGTTGGTTTTAGCCATCATGGCGATGTGACCGCTGAGCTACAGGCGGGGCCAAAGTACCTCAATAGATCCTCATCACTGTGAATGCTGCATGAATTCAATAAACGTACCATTAAAGTGAATCTGTGCATCTTTAGGCGTTCCAGGCTGTTGCCATGGTATTTCTGGGCTCACTGGTTGGAAACTGCTCTGCGTTTCTCTTCATGATCATCATCTGGAAGTGATCAACTAAATTGATGATAGAACTGTATTTCTGGATGGATGATATCATCAGATAAGCCTTTCATATCGGTCTGTAGATCCGTATTGGTTAGTTGTTGTTTTTTTTTTAATGGACGTAGTTTCTGTTAAAACTGAATGTTGCAACGTTACATTATCCTGTTATTGCACCGCTAGAGAGCGGTAGTACCGTAGATCGCCACTAGAAGGCGAGGAAAAGTGCTAGCGTGGATCTGAACTAAACGCAGTGCTTTACATCATGGCTGCCTTCTTTTAAAAAGCAGTTGTTGTTTGACAGAAGCAGTTAAACTGGTCCTTTCAGAGCTGACCTGCTCCTATGATGTCTCAGTAGTTAAATGGCTGCAGATCTTCCTCCATCCAACCTGAACAGGTTCCCTTCCAGCCTTAGCAGAGACCTTAACGCTTGTTCTAACAGGATCTTGGCTAGAAGCCTAAAATGTGACGGAGCGTGTTAAATTAAAGGGAGCCATGGTAGAAAGGAGGTATGATCCATGACTGAAGTCTGGAGTCACACGTCTTACAGCTGATGCCAGTCATTGGATGAGGCTGTGAGTCTCAGCGGAGTGAAGTGATCCAGCGGTTCACTGGGCCTCTCATTCAGCAGTGACACCGTTTCCTAAAGCTTCCCTGATAATCCATCACAGACGGACGTGTCTGACATGTTTAAGGCTAAAAAGCATCCAATTAAATAAAACCACAGTTTCTACTAACTTCCTCTATTGTGTGCAGTTCTGCTTTTTGATTCCTATTCGACTTCTGCCGTTCGAATTCAATTGACAAAAAACTGTTATTAGGTGTTTAAAGGCACAGCGTTTCACCATCAGATTGAAATGTTTGGATTTTAACATTTATAGACGTAAGTAAATTGAATAAACGGCTGATCTGACTAAGACTGGCCTGTAGGAATATTCTGACGGACATCGCCATTTTAATAATTACCGATCTTTCTTGTTTTTCTTACCTAACGCTGTCATCTTTCTTTTTCCACTTAAAACCACTGCTTTGATTGAAGATGATGTTCAGATCTCCCCTTAAAGCCGAGCATACACCATGCAATATTTTCAATCATTGCACGCAGCTACAGCTCAAACTGTGCGATGAAACTACAGTAAAAAAACACACAGCTCACGATGTTTGTTCTCACACTGTGCGACTCGACGCTCTGATGCGATCTACCTGCTCACACTGTACATCTAAAAACCAGGCGGGACTCAGCTCCGCAGTGAGATGGCGCTACTCGGACTCGTCTATCTGGAAGAAGAAGAAGAACTCCCCTGTTTGCTCAGTGCTGGAGGTTCAGGTAATCAGCTGGTAGCTCTGCTTCAAAAGCAGGATTTACCCACCAACACCTCAGGAGGACCCACTGGATTTCAGTCGTGTTTGACTTTCTCCTGACCTTAAGATTCCTGATGGAGCGGCGGTCGTTACAGGCTGATCGCCCCCCCGTTACCTCCTGTACGCTACACCACGCAGGACGCATGATCAGGCTGAAAGTCGGCCCCATCGAACAAAAAATTCTCACACGACCGGAGAATCGGCCCAAAGAGCAGAAAAGATTGTAGCGTATGCCCGGCTTTAATGTGCAAACTGTTAAACTGACCCAGAGACGTTGGTCTGATCCACCTGCAGCCTTTTTATGCTGCGCTTTTCTTACATATATGTGCAAATAAAGGGTTGCATTTGTTTAAAGGCACAAATATAATAAAAAAACAAAAGAAAACCGGACCGATGTGAAGGTAACGTTCCGCAGGAGGCGGTCCTGTTAGGATACCTGCAGTGGGAGGAGGGAAATGCTGCCAACTAGTGGTAGAACAATTAATCAGATTAATGGACTATTGAAATAATTATTTTATTAATGGATTAAGTGTTAGCTGGATTATAGAGACTGTAAAACACAGAGCGACCCACTTAGAGCAGGGATTATACCAAGATTATAAAAATATGTAAACATTTTGCATTTAAGACATTGGAAACATTTTCATCTTTTTAGTTTCTCCTGGTTTTCAATCTGTAAAAAAATATCTATGAAACCTTTGGCTAACCGATCATTAATCAATTAATCAAAAAAAATAATTGAAAGATTAATGGATTATCATAATAATTGTTGGTTGCAGCCCTTCTGCCATCCTGGTCCAGGAAGTTTTTTAGATTTAATGTTAACCAACGTTTTTTTTTTTGAATGATCATCTAAAAACATGCCTGATTAGAGGAAAGCATCGACTTCCACTTCGCTTGTTCAACATTTCATCATGTTCTTCTACCTGCCGACGCCTCCATTCCCCCGCAGCTCAGAGCAGCACTCAGCAGGACGCTGGAAGGTCCCACTGAACCTGGATGATCTTAGCGATCAGCTGCTGGTCCTGCTGCTGGTCCTGCTGCTCCCATTAATACAAACCAAACAATAGAATGAAAATGAACAAAGCCAGATTTAGATTAAAGCTGCTGATTCACTGCTGAGCATCATCAGTAGCAGACCTCTGACGAGCAGTAGACTGAACTCTGTAGCTTTAGCACATTAGATCTCACTGAAGCCTTTCCTGTCGCCATCATTGGTTGCAGACTGCTGCTGACTAACGTACCTGAATGCAGCGTGGGCGAGTTAGTGGGGACGGACCTGCACCCACGCTCTGAGACGCTGCGCCCCGGGGTTTCCCCTCATGCTGTCTGAAACATTTATTTACTGAAGCAGATCCCACCTTTGAGCTCTGGATAAATCCGCTGTCAACCTGAACATGAGCTGAGATGAGCAGGTTTGTTTAACTTGGCATGAGGGAAATGTAGCGCAGGACTCCCTTCATTCAGAGGCAGACCCACCGGCTCCACAGAAACCCACAGTGCTGCTAAAAAGCTGGAAGCGTTCTGCCATTCAGCTGCAGCGCCTGCTGGTTAGACAGGAAGGCTGAAGATCAGGGCTTCCTGCCGCGCCGCTGGCTCATTCCTGATGGAT